TTTTTTTTGTTTGTTTGGTTTTTGGTTTTTTTTTCTGCTGATGTAAAAGTTTGTACCAGCTRTCTTTAGAGTGTCTGGCCTGAATTTTGTTGAGTCAGTTAAAAATCAGTATCCTTGTGAGTTGATGGAATGCCACAGGGTAGTAGATGTGGRAACAGATGATAGATGAAAAGGGCTTTTTGTAACAGAAAACAACCGGGCACAATTAGTGGTCATTAAGTTACATCCACTCTCTAATAGAGTTAGGGAAATGCTACTATTACTTGCAACATGGTGAGAACTACCAGGAGTAGAAGATACACTTGCGATGTAAAAGACCCTGAATTGCCCARATTGTTGTGCTCAAATAATTCCTGGCTTTTGCCGAGTGCTGAGTAATTTTTCTGAAACTTSAAATAAGTGAGAGCTCTTTGACAATTAAAGGAAATTCAGCTTCACAGTGGTAAGTGAAGGAGGATGACGCCAGCCAAATTATAATCACTTTATGCTTAACTATGGTAAATCAGAGCTCTAGACTACAGACCGCTGAAAAATGTGGAAGTTAAGTCCCATGGGATATTATTTACTGTTGTCTGAAATTCAATAACCTTCAGAAGTGGTCTGATCTATCTGTGTATGTGAGAAAGAATCTTAGTGGCATTGCTTATCAAACTTTCCAATCAAAGAATCCAAAACAGAAAAGCTATTTTAAAATCTAGGGATCTTACAAGAAAGACTACTGAATATTTCTGAAAAGGGTAGTATTGAGTTCAAATATATAAAACTGTAAATTAGTCAAACTAACAAAGAAAGCTCTGTGTGTATTTTGGGTAAAGCTGACTTTTTTCTTTTTAAAGCCCTACTAGGAAATCAGATGACCACTACCATTAGGAAATTGAAGTCTGAGTTCCCTATCTCATGTCTTCTTATCCTCCCATCTTTAAATGGGACTGTTCCACTTTTTATGATTTCTGATTTTAGACTAAGTACATGTGAACAGTATTTTTTTTCTAAACAAGGCAGCAYGAAGTTTAATATAACTTCCCTTTTCCTGACACAGTTAAGTTTATGAACCAGATTTTCATTTCTCTATTGCCTCATTTTAATAAACTGGGTTCCTTAGAGTATTAAAAACAAGCAGGTCAAGACCACCTCAGTTCTTCCTCAGTTAACCGTTCATRCCTCATTTCTGGGAACAGACAGAATCTTATGGACCATTGTGGGACCAGGWGTGAAAACAAGGCTTCTCTAAAAATACAGAAATACTGCAACTTCTGGTCGCAATGCTATGAATAAGATTTTTTTTAATTACTGTTTTATTTTTGAGGGGAAAACTGGCTAATAATGGACATTCTTTTATTTCATCTGCCTTGCTTTTACAGTTTTCTGTGAGGATTTGCTTGTSCAGTATCATTACTGAAAAGACACTATGGTCCGCGGTTTCCTGTAGGTGGCAATAGTAACAAAGGGAGGCATGAATCCATGAGTGGGATTTACTCAACATCTAGGACAGGAGGAATATGGATATTGAACAAGTGTCTCCTAAGAAAAAAAAAACATTCTAGCTCTTTAAAAGCACATGCTTGTTATTTCCCTACACAGTTTTCTGGATATGTGAACAAAGATTAAACATTTGAAATGGACATATGAGCTCAAAATCCTTATAACAATCCTTTTAGCAATTTCTGTGTCAGGAATGGTTGGGAACGTTGACACAGCATCAAGGATGTCTGAAGAAACAGGCAATCAAAAACAGAATGACTAAAAATGAGAATTCAGCACTATTGTGAGATAGGTGATTTAGTCTTTCAGATTTATAGTATGTAGCTGCTATAGCAGAAGCTGTATGCAGTTCTTAATGTAAAGAGAGGGAGCTTAAAGAAGTTTTGAAATGTGTTTTCACTTGGAAAGTGACAATCATATGCAACCATGTGTATCTGTCAGTCTTCAGCCATGAAGCAAACTAAATCAAAGACCATCTCTGCAAAAAACAGTTGGTCTTAAAAAACTTACTTGTGTGTACATCCTGTTCCTTGTGTGTGTTTAAGGGAGACTTATAGCCAGAACTGTCTTTTTGGGCAGCACATACCTGTGGGATCTTTGTATGTGCTGCACTTGAAATCGAGAGAGATGGCGTGGCTCCCTTGTTTGCTGCAGACGTAGCTGGAGCTACACATGGGGTGGAATGGAATGAAATGGAATGGAATATACCGTTTCATTTGGAAGGAACCTAAAATCATCCAGTCCAACAGCCTGACCACTTCAGGGTTGACCAACACTTAAAGCACAGTGTGAGGGGTATTGTCCAAATGCTTCCTAACACAGTCAAGCTTGGGGCATTGGCCACCCTCTCTAGGAAGCCTGTTCCAGGGTCTGAGCACTGTCCTGGTAAAGAAATACTTCCCAATGTCAAGTCTGAACTTCCCCTGGCACAGCTTTGAACAACTCCCACATGTTCTGTCACTGGACACCAGTTGCTCAGCTTCTTCCTGTAACAGACTGACATTTTCTTTCTTAGGGTAAGGGATACCCATTTCAAAGGGKTTTTYCCCCCTAAATGAAAATATATTTTATTATAATTTATAAATAATAACATTTATTCTTATGTAATTGTCATTAATTATTTGATAATTAATAATTAAATGCACCTTAATACCAATACTCTCCTTATCTATTTCTTTGTAAATTTTGAGCCTGTTGAGTCATTTGGGTGACAGCAAAGGTTTCAAGGCCAGTCATTTCCTATCAGTCATTAAGCTAAATAGTCAAATCAGAAGATAAGACTGTTGATGCATCATCCAGTGRAGAAATTTTCAATGCTCCAGCTGGGATAAGGACAGGCAAGGAGAATTTCTGTCCAGCTGTTTGTGCTGATGAGCCTGCATTTAATAGCTGGGTGTTTGAGGAGCAGCTCAGATCTGGTAAAATAGCTGCCAAATTCCTTGCTAAAGGATGGAGGAATGGAACATGCCATTGTGGCTCTGTAAGGGAGATGGGGAGAAACTGACAATTGCGGGAAGTTTGGGATCTGGGAAAGAGCAGGGGACACTCCAGGTAAGAATGCAGTAGCCTGAGCTGTTGTGCTGTTTGCTATGAAACAGAACATGTGCCTCTTTTCATCTGAAAGGGTTTGGGCGTTCTTTGGTGTGCAGTTTTTTGGGTTTYGTCTGTTTGCTTTTCAGGTAGCAGAACTTAGACAAGTCTAATTGAAGTCTTTCAATATTCTTTTCCTGCAAAGATGCAGCAATACAAAATTTAAAGTTTTACCGAATTTCGTAGCCTCAGAAAACATGTCAACCACATWGCATTCTAAAGTATGCTAAATTTGAAGTTCATCTTCAATTATTTGTATTTGATTAGTTTCATGAGTTCATGTGGTCACCTGAAGRTTTTTTGCTCTGGAATGTGTTAATATGGCTTATGTACCAGTAGGAAAGATAATTTTCAAAAAATTATGACATGGCTGTAGAACTGAGGACTTCCTTACTAGCTCTGGGTTGTCATTCCTCAAGTACTGTTTCATACCATCACACTGGATATAAAAAACTTCTCTGAAGACAAGACTGATGTTCATCACATTTGTCAGATGCCCTTTACACMAAATACTGAGAGTGTCTCATGACCTAAAAGGATTTGTGGTTTTGTTTTTTAAAACTCCATTCTTCCTCCTTTGCATAAGGAAACTATTGTTTGTGGAATTTGAAATGGAAGTGGAGGGTGACTAAGGAATTAGTCATAATAATTTTAGTTGATTCTCAGATTATTCAGAAAGAGTTAGAAAAAGACTGAAATGCAAACTCAAGAAAYTTTATTTGTCAAATTAAAAGTAATGAGGGTTTGACCTGGCAAATACTAGTCACACCTTCCACTACTTAGAATTTCTATGCTTTGTTAATTCTCTTGCTCCRGTTTAAAGAGTTTTCATTATTTTATCACTAGTGGTATTATTATAATTGTGCAGGAGTTTTGTGAACTTACTTTCCTTTTTGCTGAATTTGGAAARGAGAGGCTAAAGCAGTGGTAAAAAGAAGAACTCTTAAGTAAGTGTAACACCAATGCCAGTAATTATTCAGCATTGTTTGCTGACGTCATTCATGGAACACCAGGAAACCCCTGGGAGAGGAAGAACTTGGAAATAACTGTAGTTTACAATCTTTCCTCTGTGTTTTTAAAGCACACTAAATTTGGACAATTCCTCAGGTAATCCAGGCTAACCTACAAAGATGCTCGTGATGCTCACTGTTGGGAAGAGAGCCGCATTCTAAACTCTTCTGTAAGGACCTGATGCTCTAAATCTGCTTGGCTGCACCCTCAKATTGTCATGCAAATGGGGCGCTTCCTTGGGGATTTTACAGAGGTTTCTACTGGTTCCACAGTAATAAAGTTTGGAGGGAAAGAAAATTTTAATACCATGTGAAGACCTTTTGCCTTCCTAAAGCAGCCAGGCTTTCACTGTTGAGGTGCAAGGCTGTGAAGAAACATTGAGGCATCATACCAGTCCCATAAGAATCTCTTTATTTGTGTCCATTTTTATTTAGCACATTACAACTTCAGCAAAGACATGGAGCAGATGTGTGTACCAACATTTGCACATAAATGTTGTGAAGACACAAAGAAAAGCACTTATCTGCGGGGCCAGCCCAGTGGAGTTACTTGCAGGAAAGGATAACTTGCTGCAGAAATTCAGTCATTTCTACTTGCATCAAGGCAAAAAACCAAGGTCAACTTCTGTTAACAACAGACTGTAGTTCTAATTCAAGTAGAAATCTGACAAAAAAGCACTGATTGTATGTGCTGGTAATATCAAGTTGTAAAGACAAGAAGTTGATTTAAAGCCTTTCGAGTTCTGAGAGAGAATGCAAGGGACTATTTTAATACTCRTCTAACATCTACCTAGAATGTTTTATCCCCATTAATAACAGTGGAAGAACTGTTGAAGTATAAGAATGTGTAAGTACAGTATAAGAAATTAAGAGTAAATGCTGTCGCTACTACAGACATCATCAGGTTTGTAAAGTCTAATAATTATTGTAAATTTTTAGATAAGTAAATTATGTAGTGCTTTTCACCAAAATCAAATAGTCTATTAAGAATCTAAAAATTTGTTTTTATCTAGTTACTTCTAATTTCAAGAAGAGAAACTAAATTACAATGGCCACATGAGTGCTTCACACACAGCTGATAAGAGTTTAAAACACAGGACTAGGATTCAGTAAGGCTTACAATAAAGTCCAGCGGGTTTAGGACAGAAGAAGTTAAGAAAGAAATYAAACCAGTTGAAGGATGACTCAGTTCAAACTTTTTACTTGCTTACAATCTAGAACTTTGCTGTAAACTTTATCCTCTTCAGCATATCCCCACTTAACAAAAAGCTGTCATGGAATGATCAGCTGTGAAATTTTGCAATTTTTTCTTCAAATGACAAACTGACAAACAGGAGGCACAGTGGGTCTTGTATTTCACTATCCAAGTTGCCAGTCCTAAAGGCTGTTTTCCAGCTTAAAGCTTAAAATGTTTTCTCTTAAGACACTTTTACATCCCCTCCAGATTAAAACTGACCTGCTGAATTGTAATGTGTGCTTCACTCTTTTGCAGTTCCTGCATCTGAAAAATTACAGTGAAYGTTTATACAACAACTTGTTGCAGCAAGTCAGAAGTCCTCAAAATCTTATTTTACGATTAAGTCTTTAGAATTCAAGATCATGGACTGGAAATAATTTTTTATACTATCAAAAGCTTAAGCTCACTTTCTGCATGTTCTGTGAGTTCAGAACTGCCAYACCATTAATGTAGGCTTTAAAGAAATGCCAGTATGAAGATGAAAAGAGATGAATTTCACTAATTCATGCTTAATTAATTCATTAATTTAATTTGTTGAAAATACTCCAGTGTGAAAGAGTATAGATGCAAATCTGAAAAGAAAAATAAATATTCTTTTACACTGATTGTAAAAAATCCCTTTATTCTCTTAGCATCCTTGGTTGCACTCATACTGATTGGTCAGGAATATATCAAGTAACAACAAGAGCATCTCCACTCAGGATATTAAGTGCCCATACAAAGTTGTTCTAAGCACAATCAGAAGAGATTGCAGATTTTTTGAGCAGAAAAAGTTCATGGGAATTCTAGTCCATCACCTTAATGACATAGTTCTGAGGACATAGYTCCAAGACAGTTGGAATTTTAAAAGAATTCAGGAAAAAGTGTTTGTAATGGTATCACTCCTCAGTAAAGGTAAATTGTGCTTTTGAATGTGATATTAATTAGCACTGTATTAGCAGTTTTGGTTAACAACTTATTTTAGCAAGAATAGGGAAGAAGTTGTACTTCAGTCATGTTGTATTAATCTTTGCAATTTAATGCTTCCATTTCTAGCAAATTATTTCAGGCCAATATAAGCTTGATAACTCCAAGGAAGTTATTCTTTCCTATAATTAGTATTTACCCATTTAAGAATACACACACTGTACCAAATACTGTGTTACAACAAAACATGCAACAGTGAATAATCTCTATAATCAGGTGCCTAGAACATGTAATTTCACAATTTACAGCTTCACTGGTGGGCAATGCATCCATTATGCCATCTCTCACAATAATTCCCGGTATATTCAAGAAGCTCCATTCAGAATTTTCCCTACAAAATAGCTTTGTACTATGAGATGCACCACAATCAAAGTGTTAAGAGTAACTCCATAGACAAAGAGACAACTAAAGTGCAGAGCCTGAGGGATATATACTTTTTATTTATATTACTGCAGAAAGAGATTACTGAAAGACTTCTTCTGCATGAAGATGAATAAAATATTTTCATTAAGCTTCAGATGCTGCCCACTGCATTGCTTTTAAATAAAAATGCATACTCTCTATCAGTCACAGCAAAGTAGTAAGTAAACTTACAGCACATTCCTTTAATATATCAAAATGTTTCCAAGGCAACATTATTGAACTTATACCACAGTCCCCAGTAACATCAAGCTGCGCAAAAGAGGCAGTAGGGAAACTTATCCAGTTTAGGTGCTCTTCTTTTCTTCACCCAGCAAGTTCACTGTTGCTTTCTTGGCTGCAGGAAAACAGAATCAAGTTTAGTCATAGACCCACAGACAAAGTGGGTTATCCAGTGTTTTTGAGCTGCATAAAAAAAAATTCTTCCTTTTAGGTCACACAAGACAAAACATAGAAGAAAAACTAACTTTTATATGCACATTGATAAAACTGATCAGAGAAAGATTTTTAAAAATAAAGCATAAGCAAGGAGCAGTACAATAAACATTCCAGATTGATATACATAATTATGGTATACTTAAAACAGGACTGCTCATACTGTTTAGGACATACAGGTCTGCAGCAAGAAATACACCATAATGATAAAACAGGCTTGGAATAATGACAGTATTTGTGTGTGCATGCATATGTGTGTGCAGTATTTTTTAAGGAAAAGAAAAAAAAGAGAGGGTTTTTTTTTAAAATCTTTATATATAAAAATAGGAAAAAGAAAGAATAAGTGATGAAATGAGGACAGGAAAATCCCATGTGGAACAAGGAAGGACATTAATTAAGATACATGCCTACCAATAAAGACTCAGGAAGAGACTTGCAACAAAATTTTCAAGAATAGTTGAGAAAGGCAGATCTTTTAAGCAGACAGGAAAACTGCGTAAGTTGGTAAAAGGAAATGAGACTGCATGCATTGTTTGGTGGAAAGGAGAATTAATATGCTTTGAAATAGCATATAGACAAAATTCGTTCCAAATTCCAAATGAAACTTATATAAACCTTTATTTTGGCTGCTTGATACWTTTTTTTTTTCTCTTATTCATAAAACCAGAATCAGATAATCTCAAGTGCAAGGGTTTACTATGGAACTCAAGGAAATAAAAAACTTAAGTGATCTAGAGGTTGTGATAACATGTAAAAATAAAATGTAAGTAATTCCTTTAAGAGTGAGGAATCCTTTGACCTCCGAAGGAAGGAAAAGTATAAAAATATATAGATGGGAAAACTGCACTTCCCATGTTTCTGTTTATTGCTGTTAACTGCTTTACTGCACARTTGGGAGCCCCTCTATACCACGAGGTATTTGAGCAAGTATTTGAGGAGATATGAGAACACACTGAAACAATAACTACATTTATGAAAGATATGTTTGGATCTGCCTCCAGAGAGAATRTTTTTAGTGGTGTGGAAGTATGGTGGGAAGACACACAAATTGTACAATTTCTTCCACTCATTCTAGCCTTACTGCAATTCTAGGAAGCAAGGTCCACTGCAACCCCCATTTCCTGACATCTTCATCTGGTTTCAACTTCTCYCTTATAATTTCCATCATTCCCCTACGATTTATTTTTGCTTCCTCCAAGCAATGAATATTAAGTGCAATAATAAGAGCTGCCCAGTGAAATTCCCCCTGCTTCCTGTGACCAGTGGATGGCCTTTTGCTCACCCTCTTTAGTGATGGTGTCTGCAGTCTCTGCAGCTTTGTCCTTCAGGTCCTGCACAACGCTGTCCAGCTGCGCCTCGTGCTTCAGGAAGAACGGACGGATAATCCGGTTGTAGAGGAACTCTGCCCCGTTGGAAGGGCTGGGAGCCATGCACCACAGCAGGAAGCCACACTGTGAGAGCAAGAACATCGGTCTGAGCAGAGGGAATCATGAGCAGGGGACAAGGTGCCTTCCCCAAGTGCCTCAGAAATGAGCAATTTGGGGACAGTGAGTCATTCCCTGCATGCTCAGGCCTCAAGGAGGGCACACACCAGGGCAGTCACACACAGTGAAACTTTATATTGGAATAATTCCATGGATGCTGCAAGGATAAAGGGGGAGGGCTGCAGCAGTAAATCTAATTTGATGTCAAATGTATCAAGACTGTATGCACTTTTAGTTTTTCTTTTTAATGTAGAACCATAAAACCKGGTTAGGACAGTGTGTATCCCAGAGGTAAAGTGACAAGGAAGAGAGATATCCCAAACTACACACTGTAGACAAGGATAATGCTTCTGGATTGCACAGTTAAGTTACAGCTTTTAGAGCACCAACTGCTCTCTAGAAAAATCAAACAAAGACCACAGTGTGGGCCATGTTTCTGCATCTTGCAACAAGGGACTGGAAAGACCATTATTACGTGTACTACAAATCCCTGTCTTTACAACCAAAGCCCTTTTATTTGGCTTGGGTTTCACTGCCATGCACCACACAAAGACAGCCATGCAGAATAAGATGAAACATTGAAGGGACAGGGAGCGCCATAACTAAATTTGCTTGAGCTATGAAAATATATATAAAATTATTTTACAGGATAAAACTGCAACAAAATGAAGTAAATTTCCTCAGCAGTTGTACAATTCCTTCTGAATACAAACAGTATGATATTATTCCATGTCAAAGGCCTTTCCAAAAAATGAAGGCATAACAGCATWTCTCAGGCTTTTGTGTTTTTCCTGAAACACAAAACAAAACCTCAGCCTCAGTCAAAACATGCGATGTTTTCATGTTAGACAGGATTCCATGTTTGAGGAYTCCCACGTTTCTGGGCAGAAAGGAAACAAAACACACAGTCTTCTTCAAGTGAGCTTTCCAAGTATTTTGGAATATATCCCCTCTGTTATTTCCCAATAATGTTGGGATGCTATGTATGTTCTGCTCTTCACATCTGTAAAATTTTGGCTTTGTCTTCTTTGGAGTGCCAAACCAATTTACCATCCTCTTGGACAAGTTTTACGCTTTCTTTTTTAAACTATTCAATCATGATGTCAAAACAGAATGACTTAAAAAGTTGTCTGCTCAGAAGACAAAGAAATGTTTTTCAAAGTAAGGTATCCACCACAGAGTCTGGCCCACCAGAAACATTCCAATAAATTAAGACAAATAATTCAACAAGCAATAAAATCTAGCACTAAATGAATTTGCATTMGATATGGTTAGAGAAAAGAAAGGCAAAAAGTGCCTTTGTCAATATAAATACAAATCTTTCAAAGCTTTGATTATTTGGAACTTAATATAACAGAAAGAATATATGGTAYTATCCAATGTTTTTATCTTTCATTACAAACTGAGAAGTGCACTGAGTTTATTTCCTGTTCAAGAATATCTGATCGATTACTGAGAGTTATTCAGCTTCTCCCAATACACAAAAGTCAGTTCTTCTTTTAGAAAACCCCTCAGACATGAGTCCAATTTCCTCTGAAACTGAAAGAAATTGAAGTTTCCCTTTTCTTGCCTAAAACCAAAATTGCTAATTTTGATTTTACAGCTTTGTTTTCTAGTCAAGAAGAAAGTAATTTCAGGTTTGTTCTCAAATACCCATTGTTTTTGAAAAGTACTGAAACAGATGTTTATACAAATTTTCTACTGGACATGTACTAAAGTTGAGAATCTCAGTCTTTTCCAAGCTTGAGAATGTTAGACTGCTAACTTAGGTTATTTTCCCCTTGTCTCTCATGGAATGGAACTGACACAKGCTATTACAAATAAATGTAAGAAGGTCCAGGAAGCTCAGAGTGATAAAATTGTTAACTGGAAAAAAAAAATCCAAACCCAGAATATATTCTTTGCAACCCTCCAGACCAGACAGAAGAGGCAATGAAATTCACCTGAGCTCAGTCTGATTCACTTGGACCTGCTCCTAGCAGCTGTTTCTGCTCTGGCACCACCAGTTTTGTTCAGAAACAGCATTCTAGTCTTTCAAGACAAAGACATCAGTGGAGTAAGAACTCTCTCTCATTCCCACCACCACGAATACTCATAGAACGATAAACTCTGCTGCTTTTACTGGCTGCTGCTTTTTCTGAACATGACAGATATATCTTGAACAAAAGTATTTAAAAAGAAATAATATGCACATGAAATTATGAGTTGCGTGTCCTGCACTTCAAGAGATAAAAAAAAAAAAAAAAAAAAAAAAAAAAAAAAAAAAAAAAAAAAAAAAAAAAAAATAAAAAAAAAAAAAAAGCCCACAAAGTCCAACAAATCTCATCTGGAGAATAAAAATATATATAAACATTATAACATAGTCAAAGGAGTTCTTCAGTGTGCCTTTCTCCCACCTATAAAATCTTTTAGTCCACTGAAATCTTTAATGTGACAGCGTCTAAACTCTGGACTTCAAGAGCAGCTGAGCCCAGTGTCTCAGCCATGMAGGTGAAGGTGTTTTGAAATACTGAGCAGCTAAAACTCAGTATTGGTGGTGTGGTGTGGAAGCCACAAGCTGTACCAAATAGATGCGAAATATGCAAATTCAACACATTTTGGAAATTAACGCAAGTTCAAAATTTTCGTGGGTGATGTATCTGGCCTTCTACCTCATAAAAGAGACATGGAGACATCATGAACTACTTTACAAGAGGTTTTAGTTCATGGATGGAATGAAGTGTGGAAGCTGCCTGATTCCTCCTTCTCCCCCTGTGGAGTAACTTCCATCCTTCTGCCCATTCAGCAACACTTTCTGATTCTCAGCCAATATCTGGCTGCCTTTGTACAACCAAAGTAAACCTCTGCTACCAACCAGCACTGAGAGTAAACACTTGATGTCCACGCAAGCACCTATCATAGAAAGCTGTGCATTGACATAATTCCTAGTGTTTGCTTTTGTACAACTGAGAAAAGTGCCTTTCCCTTGATTCCAGCCCCACATGTAACTGTGACATTGCAGATAACATTTTATCAGCGCCCTTTGTGGTCTTTGTTTGCAAAGCCAACCTGAATTTCAATTGTGTTCTCCTCAGAAAGAGAGCTATGGGGGTGTGAAGAAATCACTGCCACATCTTTTTCCCCCAAGAATTTAGAAAAGAAGCTCTGAAAAGACACTGTATGAATTCGGAATTTTAAGTATACTCCACTGAAGATGATGGGTTAAAGCCATGATTCTACTAAACTACAAGGCATCCAAATGATTSTCTCAGCTGAGGCCTATTAAAGACTGAAAAGGAACAATGCAGAGGTGTAAACCACTGTCCCAGTCAGTTTTTCTCTATAAACTATGGCATTTCCTGGAAACAGCTTTTGACATCATCAGGTCTTATCACTAAAATTTTAAATGACCCCATGATAATGGTAGGCAAGCAAATCCTTTTAACAACTTTGGTGGTATTAAACCAGGCTAACAAAACGAAAGAGGAGGAAGAGAACAGCCTGCTGAACTAGAAAACAGCTAACAGTTCTTGGAGATAAACAGCAGACTCTGCAGCAAGCTAGAATGCTTCTATTCAAAAGCATTTACAATGATCAGCCACCTCCCAGAATAATTTACCATGTTAAAGATGACTGACACCTCAGATCACAAACAAAGCTTGGAACACATTAACCAAATCATTGCTGGTAGTCAAATCACACTCTCAATGTACACTGGTGACAATCTCCTCTGATACCTACCAATTCCTTACAGGAAACTGACACTTAATTAAAAATTAAAGCTGTAGGACTCAAGCTATTCTCATGTTCCAACTTCCTTCTTTGCTGCAGTGGCACAGATATCACTACCTCCTTCATCTGCCTGTGATTTTGCTCTCCACTTTTATTAACGCACTTAAAACGAAAATAGAGCCACTCTGTGGGGTTCACCATGTCTGTCATTTGTCCAAATTCACCTGAACACCAAGAGAAACAACTGTCTTTGGGGTTTGTTTTCTTTTATAGGACAGTTACACTGCCTCTTTCTAGTTTTCTAGAAACACAACAGACTTTTCCCTTCCACCCATCCCAACTTCTTGTCTTGCTTCACAAAACCATCAACTGTAAACAGATCACTTGGCAGTACTAAATCACACATAACCTGCATCTGAAAATAAGGTGTGAACCTGGAACTATTCCAAATGACTCTGCCATCATCTATCCATTCTTGGAGAGATTAGACCAGTTATATCAAAGATCTCATTTCAGGAGAGGGGTCACATGAACTAACATACCTTTAGCATGTAGTAGAAAGGGAACCAGGACAGAAAGATGTCAGAGAAGAATTCAGCTATGCTAAAAATGCCGTACACGACCCAGTAAGTCAGCCACTGTGTGTCATCATCTTTGTTGGGACTTTCAATGGCCTTGATTCTGCAAGGAAAACAAATCAAGTGAGCAGAACAGCAGCATCAAATCTCATCTTTAAACTCAGATTTGTTGTTACATGTGAATATTCRTAATTGAGTTACACCAAGAGAACTAATTAGCATCTATCATACAGACAGTGTGTCAAGATCTTTGAACAGCAAAGCTTTTCCCAACACATCACACTTCAAAACCCAAAGATACTCAAGCTATTTCTAGCTCTGTGATCATGAGGAGGAAAAAAACCCAAACAAAAGCAGTGAGTGTTCTGACCTTGTTTATGAAGTATTTTGTGGGACAAGAAAGGGAAGGGATAATCTTTGGCCATAGTTCCAGCTGTGGGGGCACTGTGGTAACCCTGATCAGAAAGCTACTGCACATCAGAACATTATTGATCCACGTRACAGATAACCGGAGTGAGTTCAGGCATGGGGGACACGGGATGCCATCGATCACATCACCTGCCTGGCCTTGCCTACGACCAACAGCAACCATCTTCCTTCTCTGCCAGTCAGAAAGGAATGATAGAAAGGAATAGAGTTGTTGTCTTGGATAACAAGTCCTACAGTAGGTGAAGTCCTAAAAATGGGATAACCTTGCCTGCAGACAAAGCCTGCACAGTGCTTCATGTTTGGGTCAGTGTTCCATTCAGGGCTGCACAACTTGGGGCTCTCAGTACCACCATGGGTGTAAGAATGTCTATGCTATTCTGTTTTTTCACATAGCTAGTTTTAAGASCATTTTAAATTTACTCATGCAGATATGCACTAGATTCCTCTTTGAAAAGGTAAACTGACCCAAAAGATTTGCAATAAGTCCTAAGAAGCACTTGGTCTGCATAAGCAGAGGAGATCCAGACCTGTATGCTGAGGAATATGTAGCTGCATCTCCCATTTTATTGCTCTATAAATTAATTCCTGCAGGATTTAAAAAGTCTGATGTAAACTAGATTATCAAGAATAGGGTGAAAAAAACCTTTGTGGAAATACTGGACTTTCTTCATAATGATTTAATGGGCTTTTGTTCTCCATCTGATATAAAAATGCAGCTCAAGTTTATACAGTTCAAAAAATCAGGAAACTGAAGGATGCACATGGGCTCCTTCAGTAAAAGTAGTGGAATGGAGGTTTTGGAGCTAMGAAATTCCAGATTAACATTGTAAGAAGTTCTAAAAGAAAAAGCTAGCAAATCTAAACCTGATAATTTCAAGCTTAAGAGTGTTAGAAAGCATTTGTCCTTACACTGATGCTGGAGGATGAAAATCTGTAGACTCAGTTTAATGAATTTTGTTTTCTTTCTTTTATCACTTATTCCTTTACTACCAGCTATGTTTCTGAAGCAGCATGTGTGAGATGTATCAGGGGTGCCAAGTTTTCTGTTAGGTCCCTAAAAAAGGCATTAGGGAGGTTTACAAAGCAGAAACCAGAGAGCTGACTGTAAGTGCATTTCCTGTGTGTGAATTGAGAAACGCTGTGGATTCCGTCACTTCCCAGCTCTGTAAGTCAGGGGGGAGCAGGGGGAGTTGGGGGAAAGAATTCCTGTGGCATGTTTTAGCAGAAGCAATGTCAGACTCGCCACATGCAGAGGGAGCTGGCACCGCTGCTGGATTGAGTTACTTTGAAACTCAACACAAGGATCTGATGCTTAATTCATGCGCTATTTCCAGCGGACTCTGAGGCCGTGTCGTACAGCGGGAAAAGCAACAGCCCTCGACATACCCCACCATTAAGGGGATTTTATCTAGGCACAGCACCAGCACAACAGGAAGAACAGGTTTTCCAGACGCTAGCAAGACCAGGTCTAATTCCTGCTGCTYCTATCACCGCAGGCAGCCTAGCCCGAGCGATCTGCTCAAAGGCAGGGACAACTCCAGCTGCTCCTGGTCCTAGTGCAAACCACATCTTTGCTATGCCCACGCCTCTGAAATACTCCAACCACACCAGGTGAGGTTACAAAAGCAGCCCCTGAACACCACAGGAGTTTGGCAAGAAGGCTATAGAGCTATTTTCAATGTGTGAAACTCCATTTCCGGAGGCAAACAAAAAAAAAAAAAATACAAGGACCAGTAGGGATGTGAGAGTGGTGGATAAACCGGGCAGAGAAAGGAACCAACTGCAAAGTTTCTCACCGTGAAGGAAAACTTGCTGTAGAAGTTCACAATGTGAACTTCTTTATTTCTGACAATTTCTCCATTAGTGGCGTAGAGAGGAATGCTTATTTCACCACAACAAGTGCCCAAGCTTTGTATTTGTGAGAAAACACTTTGCAGTGAAACTGCCAGCAGTTTTGTTGTYTTCCAGTCACTATCTGAAGTCACATACGGATTTAAGGGAACATTGTTGCATTTTTTTTTAACATTATTAAAGTCATATCGGTAATCATGAAAATCAGCTTTCATTTTAAAAATAAAAATAAATTTAAAAAAACAAACAAAAAAACAAAAACAAACAAACAAACAAAAAAAAAACTTAGGCTCTCCAATTTCGTGGCAAAGGGCAGATGGCACATCACCGTGTTAATGGGCCATGCTCTATTATCTTCTCTCCTCCAGAAACAAATGGCCTTTGAGAGCTCCTAAATGCAGTGCCATGGGTGTTCCCCCTTTGAACGTTCGCCATCTGCTGCTGTAGCTCCTCGGGGAATACATGAACAATACGCTGTCATTGTCACACAGCCACAAGAAGCAACACCACCAGGAGCCAATGCCCCGTCTGATTTACTCAGCTGATGCAGGCATCAGCATGAAATCCACACGTGGTTGTTTTCTCACACAGGGAACAGCACATTTCCCCTCCTCCTGTAGCGATCTGATCTTGGTGGGCAAGCTCAGGGGCAGCCCCCCTAGCACAGCCAGCAGGCAAGAGCCACGTCAGCTCAGGCTGCTCCTGCTGGCCATGACTCCAGTCCCAGTCGGGGAGAGAGGGAGGGGAGGAAAGCAGGATACAGCAGGGCCATCTGTGAATGGAAATTTTAACTGAAGGGAAGGCAAGTATTTTATAAATATTCTGCTTCGGAATGGGGAGCATGTCCCACAAATGAGACTGAGGGAAATCCAGTGTAACATGTCACTATTTGAGTAACAGGGCAGAAGTTACCTCTATCCCTTGTAAATTTACACACTCTTTCACAAGTAAGAAAGTCACAGAAAATAGTACTTGCCCAAGAACAGGCACAGTAACTAATGTGGAATATCTGAAGAGAGAGGGGGTTTTATCCATTTATAACTACACCTCTTCCAACATGAGAATTRCACCATAATCAAACTAGTCTTTTAAGTTCTTCCACAGGCATTAATTATATTGGTGTAATGCCCTGTGCAACTAATCTTAGGAGAGACATCACAGACATTAATTCAAGCCAAGAACACTTTATTCTTTTCCATGTTAAGTCATCAGTCAAGCAGGCTGGTATTCATAATGCAATCTTAATCAATAAGTGAAAAGATACACACAAAGTGGCACGGACACTATATCCTACTTCAGGATTCCCTTCTTATAAATTATTTCTATGTTGCAAGAACAAGTAAATCAGTCTCATTAAAATGTAATATTAAGATTTTCTAACAAATTAAGGATGATCCAAACACTACAGCTTCAGATTTAAAAAAATGATACTGCTTTGTCTAGTGCTGATTTGACTAAATTCCACTTTAATTATATGTAGTAATTACATATCCCAAAGGATTTTTTACACTGCTTAAACATTAACTGCAGAGGACTGCAGAGGACTTTAAATAGAGCCTCAAACAACTACTTACAGTAGTTCTGCACCTTGGAGGTAAAAGCAATCATTAGGAGCAGCGCTAGTAGTCCAGATAGCAAATATCACAGATCAGTTATTTTAAAAACAGCCGCCTGTTCAGGAGTAAAAATGACCTGCTGTGCGCCAGCACTGCGACGGAGGGGGAGCCAAAAAAACCTTCATTTTCAGCCATATCTGTTCCCCAGTAAACCTGCTAGCTGGTGGTGCCAAGGGGGAAGAGTGGAGGCTTCACATTCTGCAGCAGCCCTGGGCTCCCATCCACGGTGTAGCTGCAGTTACAGAGCACTGGCTCAGCTTTGACCCTGTGCAACCTACAATCAAACTGAACCCTAGATCAAGTGTGGTTTCTTATCCTGTTCTTGATAGTAACAGACACTGGTCTAATTTTAGTAAGTTGCCAAGCGGAGCTCTTTCACTCAAAGCATCTGACTCATTTCAAGAAAAAAAAATCAGCTCTTTTCCAAGAAGAGACTGTGGCTCCTCAATTAGCTCTGGCATAACAACTTGTTTCTTACAATAAGTTCACACATATAGTACTCACAGGCTAAGTTATGAGTTTGGGGTGGAGGGTTTTTTTGAGCTGAATCCAGATATGGAAGGCAGAAATAAAGAAATGCTGAATTTTATTGGTCTCATGTGAAGTGACGACTCTTACCCCTGCAATTTACAAGGTGTACCTGACGATCCTTGTATAAATAAAGGTACATGTTTAAGACAAAAGACCAATCTCCCTTAATCCCAGTGATTATGTTCTAGCTGGAAAAGACAGGATCATTTTGTGTATTTTTCCTTCAGTTTTCTGGTCCATACTATACTGAGTAAGCAGGCATATTTGTCACATCCTTAGACAAATTAGTAAGTTGTTAGTTAGTTTGTTTTAATTTAATTAAAAAACCCTGAAACTTCTAGCTTATACTTACTGGTCTGCCCCAACTCTTTACAGTAGGTCGTAAAATAATTTACTTCCAGCTATCTATCCACACACCCATGCAGAACCAATGCTCCACTGCACCACAGACTTCTCCAGCTTAGTGCCTCCATCATCCTCATATCTAGCTCATCCTGGCAGCCTGCTTCCCTGGCATCTCATGTCATCTCAGTGAAACAGGCATCTGCACACTTGGATTTGCTTTATCATTTTGGCTTCTACATTTCCATCCATCAGCTAAAAGCTTTCTGCTTTCCGTCTTTCTTCCTCCTCACTAACTGCAACAGCAGAGTCAGGTGTTTGCAGATACAGAAAA